AATCGATTGAAAATTTCCAAAATTATTGTTATTATCATTTCATTTATAACAAAAAATGAACTATAGCCCGAGTAAATTCGTTTAATATTTAAACTTCTTAATTAATTATTCAACCAATTAACCAATAATTGTTTTAACAATTAACATTTTCATCAATACATGCATAAACTATCAACCAAATATTGGGAGAAAATAAAACTCATTTCAGATTAAATTTAAAATTGGAAAGTTTTAAAAAAAGATTTAAATAAAAGCAGTAAACCTTTGTAACGATTTTTCTTCATATTTTTATCAAATGCCGTATGTGACATATTTGGTGGAATATAGGTTTTTAAATCGGTTTGATATTTTTTTACGATTCCTTCGGTACCAAGTCCAAACATTTTCTGAATCAAATTAGTAGAATTAAATTAATTAATTAAACAAATTTATTCAAAATAAAATTTTTCCAATTTCTCACAATATTTAGCTACCAGTAATCTTTGATCAACACTTATATCATACCAAACTGTTAAAATTTATTAAAACTCGCTTACTTTTTATTGATGCCATAAATTGTGTAATTAATATGTTTTCTTTAAAATTATCATACCATTTCATGTTAATCTTTTATCATTTTAATAATCTGAACAAGGTAAAAAGTTTAATTTTTTATTATTTAAAAAAAAATTACCAAAAATTAATGAAATAAATATCTCATTACCAATAAAAAATTTAAGTAATTCTCCTTCTGTTCATTGGTTACCGGAACTTCTCTTATTTTTATTTTCTTCACTCTTGTCGATTTTTCTTCCTGCAAATGTAAATTTCACAAATATCTAAATGTACGACTGAAACATTAAATTGTAACAATTTGTAATACTACCCAGAAAAATTACCCATAACCAAAAAGTTAACCAAAATATAAATATATAATTGTGCATTTATCATTCTCAAGTATATTTTTTTAATAATATGTTAAATTTTGAAAATTTTTCTGATAAATTTCAAAAAATATGCCAATTTCTGAAATTTTAAATTCATTCATTTATTATTCAATATCAAATTCAGTAATTAGCAATATTTAATAGTATTTGTAAATTAAGCGTCGATTTTTTTTTTTTTTTAAACAAATACTAATTTAAAACAGTATTTGTAAATTAAGCGTCGAATTTTTTTTTTTTAAACAAATACTAATTTTTAAAACGTGAACATTTCAATATAATTAATAATTTATTTCAAATTTAAAAAAAAAATAAAGAAAATAAAACCGTGATTTTTTTCTCTGTAATTTTCTTTCTTTCACGTTTACTTTTACTTTCACTTAATCGATCCTTTTTCTTTCGCTTTCGTTCACGTCTACTTCGTAATGAAAATACGTTTAAAAAATCATACTTATCACCTTTAGTTGATTTCTCATCACTATCTTTTGCTTTTCGTCTTTCTCGCTTACTTTTTGTTTCTGAAAAAAAAAAAAAAAAGAAAATTTCTTTTTTTTCAAATTAAATTTTTATTTTAAAAAAAATTAAAAAAAATTTGGGGAAAATATTTGTTAGAAAATATAATTGTTTCTTTTTTTTCTTTCGTTATTTTGAAAAATAACAATTTATTTGTTTTAATTATAAATTATAAAATTTGTATAAATTATTTTTAGTCGTTTTTTTTTGTATTTTAAAAATCAATAATAATAGGAAAATAAATTAAATGAATCAAAAATTATGAAAACAATTAATTTCTTTCATTCAGTAGCTGAATTAACATACTTTCTATTTGAGGTTCCTTTTTATTCACCGCTGCATCACGTATCTCTTTTTGACGTAACCTCTAAAAATTTCGAATTTATAAATTTATTTTATAATTCAATAATTTTTTTGTATTTGTAGTTGATAAGGATAATTGGATAATTGCAATATTGTAATTGATAAGCAATATTTGTAGTTGATAAGGATAATTTTTTGATAAGGATTTTATAAAGGTTTTTTTTTTTTTGATAAATTGATAAGAAGAATTTTTAACTTGATTTATAAATTTATAAATGATACAAAAATTTTCGAAATATTTTTTCAATATTATTTCATGTGAATTACAAAAAATTTATTTTTTGCCACAAAATTTCCGAAATCAAAAATAAATTTTGATTATGTTCATAATTTTTGATATACCATATTTATTTATTGCAATTTCCTACATATATATTTCTTAATTAAAAGATATCAAATTTAGAATTTAAATCGATATAAATGTATAAAACCAAGTACCCATGCATAATTTTTAGGAAAATAAAAATTTTCAATTAGCTCTAATTAGCATTACTTAGCACTAATTATATTTTTCTAATTAGCTCTAATTAGCATTACTGATT